ATAAATTATTTTCTTTAAGATTTTAGGCGCCATACAGGATCGGCCATTTTGTTATTTTTTTTTTTGTTATTTTACTTCAGATTCGAATTCAGCGACCTCAAAGCCCTGTGTACCTGAATTCTTGTAAATATACTAGTTTTTTAAATTATGGGCACAAAATGGGTATCAAGTAGCAGCGCAGCGTAGCAGCAGATTTTTGCGGTTGTGCTGCTGTGCAACAAGAGCCTTGATAGTTGCTGGTCGTTTGGTTTGAGCAACACGGGCCACACATGTAGTTATCTATTCTCTATGTATTCTGAAGCCTGAGCAGGGTTTTAAGTGACTTCATCAATTGCAGGTATTGAACCTAACTGAAGTGAATTTAAGCTGCACACTTCTCTGGCATACGCAGCAGGTATCAGTTTCTGGTTCAGGGTTTGTCTCGCCTGCCCTGGGCCGAGGGATGCGGAGCCGATGCTGCATAACGAAACCCGACCAAGAACTACCACGAAAACGTCTAGTTCAACCACAACAATCGAGGCCATGGCCGATTTCACATCTGACAATTCAAAGTCGTTAATATATATTTTTTTTTGTTTATTTATAGTGTATAAATTGTACAAGTTATAATTCATTTGGTGTTTTCACATATTTTCGTGAACGAAATTGGAAAATATTGCGATATATTTGGTTGGGTAACTATCAGGATACATCAATTAAATTTTCAAATAATTATTAAACTTAAGCCTTATGCATCTTAACAGTTTGTACATTTAAATGGGAGTGAAAACTGTTGTCATTACTTTTAAGAAATATGAGTATATTTAAGGTTAGTTTCACATCCTAAAAGCTTACAAAACTCTGCAGAAGCTTAAATCGTTAGCGACTTATGTGTTATAACTATTCAGCTGAGAAATTCAATAGATTTTTATACATGTATTTGTATGTATAAGTGTAACATAATGATGATTAAAGCAGAATAAATAGTTAAACATTGAAATAAAATACTTGGACGGCACATTCTTATGCTTAAACAGTTAATTATTTGGCTTCATGCATACATATAATAAAAAAATTTTCTATTGGTAATGGAATGAATTATTTTATAAATATAACTTACCAAATAAATACAAATATGAATTTATGCAACCAATTATAAACAATTTGTATTCTTATGGCAATTTTAAATAATAAATAAACACCTTCAATAGTATCCTTAGCTATTAATTCTAATGCTGTTTTAGAACTCGTATTATGTGATTGATTTCTAAAATGTATGAGTAACATTATTTTTATTTTTATTTTCTTATGAACGAAGTAAGCGTAATATTATGCGCATGGGTATTTATAAGATAACATAATAACATGTATCTTCCAATGTATATTAATTTTTTCCATTAATGATTTTATGTTCTGATTTTTTTCCTTTCAATTCTCCAGTAACACCTACTGATAGGTTGAAGTTCCCCCGTCGCTGATGTTGAGTTTATACAATTACTATGGATTTATTCCATATGATATAGTGTAATGCGCTTTTTACTATCAAACAATACTTATGCGTTTGACTCCTGAAATAAAAAATTTATTAATCTTGATAATATTATTTTAAGCAATTAAATGATAATTAATTTTACTAATATTTATAATGCATTACATGACATGAAAGACCTGACCACTTTTAACGCTTTACAAATTATGTACAGTGCATACACTTATAATCAGTTTATTTTGGCTGACTTCGTAAATGAATCAATGCAAACTAGGTTCTAATTCGACATTTGAACATGGTAGCGCTTATTAGATATTTCCATCATTTATAGTTTAGAAATAAAAGTTATGCTTTACATCAGGCATGGGCACATTTGCCCGTAGTGGCTCTTTTGCTCATACGGGCAAGCGAGCCCATTTGGCGGGCTAGATCAGGGGAAATCACTGGAAAACATGAACTCAGTAGGTCGCCAGGTAGTGCTAATTAGGAACACTTTCCACCTCACTTTTCACAACTTCCATGACTAGGGATGGCAGCGATTAATCATTTGATTAAATT